ATTGCAGGCATTTGTAGGGAGAGAGTTGTGGTGTTAGAACAGGGGCCGGGCTGGGAGAGTAGGGTAACTGCCTAAAGCTTTTGTGGGGTGGCGCGACTTTAGCGTGAGTGTCTCAAGTTCAGAATTTTCAGGGAACTCGAAGAGCTCCGTGTTTCTGTAGCAAGGAAATCACTTTGACTTTGAAGTGGGAGGCACAGGCCGCCGGAGCGGTTTTGGACAGGTGGCGCGTGCGCTCTGGAAAGCTGAGGGCTGACAGGAGATGGGGCTTTCCTGAGAAAGAGAAGAAGGGGCCCAGGATCCTACAGCCTACGAAAATGCACCAGAGGAATGGAAACAGCCTAGAGCTGGTGTCAAACTCCCACAGCAAGTGCCAAGAGCCCAAGACAAGGTGTCAGACCAGCGCCAGCGTGTCTCTGCGCTGGCCGCGCCCAGTCCTCTCCAGCTTTACGCACGGGCTTGGCTCGCCCTCTGGTCCCTTCGGGAAGGCAGGGGAACTCCAGCCGCCTCTCCTGAGGACAAAACTTTCCCTACAGACGCGGGCCTTTCTACCAGGGAGTCCTAAGGGTAAAAGAAGCCAGCGATCAGGGCTCTACATCAGGGCGAGGGACAAGCTGGAATGGCCATGGCTGGCCTCGGAGAGGGGCGCACAGCCTGTTGGCGGGTGGCAAGACCTTTGAGTTAATGTATAATTGTGAGCAGATGGCGGGGGCTGGCGGCAGCCCGGGGCCTGGGCCCAGCTAATGAGGGACAATTAGCCCCAAACCCGGTGGGGGTGGTTGAGAGAGTCAGACAGTGAAGGCAGATATTTGCTCCTCAAACAGTCTAGTGCGCTGGGCAGAGGGCTGAGTGGCAGAGCCTTTGGGCTGGCTAGGCCCCCCTGCCAGGGCCCTTTACCACTTTTCCCTCCCCCATCACCTCTGGGTCGAAAGCCTCTGTTTGTTCAGACCCAAGAGGGCGTCATAAAGGCGGAGGGAAAGGGTAGTTTATGGGGTAAATCGCTGCCACCACCATCTGCCAGGGCTTGTCCCTGCTCCCCCTGATACCCCTATCTCCACCCTCATGCAGCTGTCTATAGGAATAGCTGGTCAGGACATGAGACTTGAGCCCCTAGATGCACGGCACATCTAGCAGGGAGGGACGAGGCAGGGATGGGGAACTAAGAGCAGGGCTACCACAGGCCTTGCTGGGGACTTCCTCCCACCAAGGCATGGCTAAGTAGCGTGACCAGCAGTCCCCAGCTGCCCTGGGATGGAATGACTGTAAGGGCACTTGGGCAAGTGCTGTCCTGCTTGAGGTCCTGAAATCACCCTCTGCAGTCAGTCTCCCCCGTACCCCAATATCAGCTGGAGGATGCTGGAGGAGAGTGGAAGAGGAAGACAGTAAGTGTCAGGGTAAAGGGAAAACCCACTTATGTGAGACATTTGGCCTCTGAGAGCAAGATTTCCCAAGCCTAGGATCAAGCTGAACTCACAACAACCACTTTCACCCCAAAACCTCAAAGCATCTACAATGAAATACAGTCTTCCACTCTCTGATTTCTGGGTCTAATTTTATTGCCCTACACCCTGCCTGCTTTCAGTCTGACTTTGGCAATGGCTTCACAGACTCTGAGATGGGGAATGGACCCAAAGAGTTTTCCATGTTAGCACCTTCACACCCCCAGGGATCTGCCCAAGACCCTGATGGCTGGCAACGAAGCTTCCACGCACTAGAGGCTACGTCTCATTTCCAGCATCCCACTACCACCTGGCCAGCTACTGATGCCTCTCACCTCGCCAGTGACCCAGACAACCTGTAGCATCTTGTGGTAACAACAGTGCCGTTACTAATTTAGAGTCTAAAAGCATCAAATTCCTAACAGAATGGAGCCTGATAACATCTAAAGATTGAAGGAGGAAAATCCTGCTGCAAGTCTCCTTATACACACCCACATGCATCTCTGACTATCCTGAGGCTTATTTCCACCACACTACCATTGTCAGTGTCCTGAAGTCCAAGATCCTCCCATTTCCAGGCAAGAATTCACACTTGTTGTCACCTCAGTCAAGGAGTCAATTGGAGAATTGGTGAGGACACTCTCTGGGGACAGCTGGTGCTAGGGGACACACACTGTTCTCCATTCACTCTCGTTGTCTTAGAGTGCTAGGAGCCAATTCAGTCAGTATTTAGGCAACAGTCTGTATATTCATTTCTCTTTCACAGTAACACACACGACTCAGGAGTTGACCCCAAAGCCCAGTCATGTGCATTGTGGCTGGGAAGCTGTGTTGGTGGTATGGGGAGGCATCTTTTTGCTTCTGTGCATTCGAAGCCTTAAGGACACAGCCTGAAATTCCCCATCTTCCATGCTTAGCATATCCTTCAGGAGTACTGGTCCTTGTGTGGGTGCACTTTTTCCTGCATGAGAATGGCTCTGTCTCTGCTTTAGGGTAATAGGTGGACACAAAGTGGGCTCTGAGGATTCCTCATGGAAGGACAGAGTGGGTCATTGGCTGTGGTTTGCCCTGTCTCGGGGCTGGTGTCTGTCAGCCCATGCACACCTCCCTCCTCCTCTCTCCTCTGCTCATGGCCTGTGACATCATTGGCTACTCCCAGAAGGCTGCCCTCTGTTTTTGAGCTCAGACTCTCTGTAGCTCTGGACCCCCTGGCAGGGCTGAAGCAGGAGCAGAGTGGAGGCTGTTGCTAAGACCAGACCATCACCACCCCTGGAGCTTGCAGGGGTCTCAGAAGCTGAGACCTCCCACTGAAGCTCCCACCTCATTTCCTCCACACAGGTAGCTCACCTGCAGGCTCATTGTCTGCCCTGCCTCTCATGCTGTCTCCATGCCTCTGTGTGGCCAAACCCAACTTCTCTCCCGTTCTGTCTTTGCAGCTACCACCCTCCTGCCCTTTCCACCCCCTTTCCTGTTTTTCCATCTTGCAAGCGCCAGTTATTTTTCAGACATGTTAATATGAATGTTGGGAATATGTGGTGTGGCTATTGAGAATGGGGTTTCTGTTTGTGAGTTGGGGCACAATGATTTAGGTTTGGAGATTATTTAGGTTTGGATACTGAACCTGCATCCCCACTGCTTCTTTGTATTCTGGTCACTTAGGAGAACTGAGTCCTGTCAAGGATTTAGGGTTTGGCTGATAATTTGAGCTCTTTCATCCTGTCTTGGCAGTCCCTTACATTCTGTTTGACTCTCTCCTCTCCATTGTTTTTGTGGCAATTACACAAACGTGAAGCAGGGGTGGGAGCAGAGAAAGAGAGCCCAGGATTAGGAGCCAGAAATTGTAGCTTCTGGTGAGGAACTGACTTCTAAACCTTGAGTTGTACTCTCTGGACGGCCCCTGACTTGTGGCAATCCCAATCTGTGCCTCAGTTTTCTCTTTGGAAAACCTCTGCCTTCCTGCCTGACTTTTTGGAAAGATGAAGATTTGAAGGGGTCTGTGCCTCTACCTACCTAGAAAAAAGTGAGTAAAAGCCAATTTAGCTATTGAACTTAATAATTAGACTCTGGATTCCAAACTCTTTGTAATTCTTTGTTTCACTAGTGCTAGTCTCCTTTTTACAGATGGTCTGTAATCCGCTGGAAAACAAAGACTTTACCCTTTTCTGTTTACTGCCTTCATTCTGAACAACCAGCAATGTGCTCATGCTTAATATCTTATTCAGCATATAACTGCAGATGAATTAACTGAGCCAAGATGGCATGCTTATTACAAGAAAGTTCTGTGCATAAGCTGTTCCTTGGGGTGACCTCCAGCTTTACCAGGCATGAAAGGAGGCATCTTCATCTCTCATTGATTACTGATGAAAGTAGGAGAGGTATGGTGGCCTGTGAACCTGTGTCCCTTGCTGCTCAGAGACTCTCTTGGGCTCATGATGGTTTCTGTGTTGGTCAGCAGACAGTCCTCGCCTGCTTCTGATCCCCTCCCTTCAATATGCCTTTGATAAAGGGATTAGTTGAATGAATGAGTATCTGATACCAGAAAGGTGGTCTCTGACATTGAAGCTTCACTGTGAGATCTAGAACTCTTCAGAGTTAATAGGGATGAACAACCCCAGCAGGTTAGAGATGCTAAGAATGTGCCTCTTAGGAGAAGCTGGCACTTCAGGTGTGTTCGTCTCTACGCCCAGTGTGTAGGACCAGAGCCTCAGTGCCTGGGGGGTAGAGCTGAGCCCCAGTTTCCCCAGAGCTTCCCGGAGAGTATAAAAAACATAGGAGCAAGCCCTTTTGAAGTGCAGCATTTGGTTGGCAATTTGGAGAGCCCAACCGAGACTGTCTAATAGTGAAGGAGGACCCCTGAACTTGGGGACCCCAGGATCTTTGGCTCAGGTGTGTCATCCAGGACTGAGAAGGCTTAGGAGCAGTTGGAGACAACAGCTGCCCATTTGCAAAAGGGAAAGCTTGAGCATTTGAAAGCATCATCGCTTTCTACCACCCCAACCTTTTGTAATGAATGTGTGGGAAATGAGAATCCTTCCAATCCTCACAGCCCCTTGTTAGGACTTGAAGAAAGATCCAGTCTCCAGCCAACCTGCAGTGTTTTCGTTTTTATCACATAAACGTTTAAATAAAAGAAATTCAAATTTTCTAATTTTAGCCAACCCACAGGCAAATTTTAGAAACCTGATCTTCTATCACAAGACGCTACCTCCCAAGACCATTTCAAGCAAAAGACCTCACCCAAGTAACCCCCAACCCACCCCTTTATTGCAGACCTGGGCCCCAAGCTGGAAAAGGAGAAGAAACTTGCCTTGCCAGGCTTCCCAGCGGTGGCTCATCCTTCTGCGAAGAGCGTCAGCCTGGAGCATGCAGCAGGACGGTGAGGAGTCTGGAGGAAGTGGGAAGACAGGGAGGACAAGAGAGACAGGGGAATCCTCAGGGCTTTATGTCCATCAACCTTTTCATCTGCCATTGGCCGGTGTTCTGGGGAAGCTTTTTCCAGTCCCTCCCTTCCTGCCCTGTCCTGCTTTCTTTAGATCAGGAGAGTCAGCAGGTACAGGCAAGGAACAAAGACTCACCCGTGAGCTATCTCCCTAAGAAAGCAACTTATGTTGATTGCCTGAGGGCAGCAAGAATGCGGTCTCCCGGGAGAGGACGTTCTCTGTGGTGGGAAGCCAAGCTGGAGGGGCCTGAGTAATCCTTTCCGCAGCGGGGCAGGGCAGTGGGAGAGGTGGTGTGTGGATACCTCTGTCTCATGCCCAGGGATCAGTAGCATGAACCAGCTCGGGGGGCTCTTTGTGAATGGCCGGCCCCTGCCTCTGGATACCCGGCAGCAGATTGTGCGGCTGGCAGTCAGTGGAATGCGACCCTGTGACATCTCACGGAGCCTGAAGGTAATGAGCCAGCACCTTCACACAGTGATAGGGACAGGAAGCAGGGAGAAGGGGCTCCTCTGAAAGCAAGAGCCTGGTGCTGTTGCAAGCTTGGAGGGCTTTTGGGACTTGGGTCGCTCTTTTCAACCTCTTGGAGGTTGAAAAGGGGAGCTTCGGGCCCTCAAAGGTGAGGCTGGACTCCCAACTCCATGGTCTGGTCCAGTAAGTCTTGGCTTTGTCTTGTAGCCTCCTCTTGTCTCAGGGACCCTCTCCCTCCTTCTGCCCATTATGCCTCACCTGTCCCTGCTTCTCATCTGCCTCAGGTATCTAACGGCTGTGTGAGCAAGATCCTAGGGCGTTACTACCGCACAGGTGTCTTGGAGCCCAAGGGCATTGGGGGAAGCAAGCCACGGCTGGCTACACCCCCAGTAGTGGCTCGAATTGCCCAGCTGAAGGGTGAGTGTCCGGCCCTCTTTGCCTGGGAGATCCAACGCCAGCTTTGTGCTGAAGGGCTTTGTACCCAGGACAAGACTCCCAGTGTAAGTATGCTTCCCTCCCCACACTGAGGCTGGAAAACAGGCTTTCTGGGGAGACAAAGAGCATTTCTTATTTGGCAATGTGGGCATCCCAGGCTGGTGACGGGACTCCTGGGCTCTTCTGACCCTTAAGTTTTTCCTTTGAAAAGTGGTGGTAATAAGAGAAGTGGAAGGAGAAAGCATAAGAAAGCATAGAGGGAGAGAGGAGGCTGCTCTTGGGAACAATGTGTGGGTGGAGACAGAAGGGGAGAAAGGATATTAAGAGGAATGTCCTCAGGGTGCAAACGGGGTCTGAGCACCATCTCTCCACTCAACACTCCGACACTCCCAGGTCTCCTCCATCAACCGAGTCCTGCGGGCACTACAGGAGAACCAGGGACTACCGTGGGCACAGTTCAGGTCACCAGGTGGGTCTTGGAGTTAGTTAGTCTCCGGGGCTAATCAGAATCAAATGCCCAGCATTTTATAGCCGTTTCTTAAAAGGGCTTTCTCAAAGCCCTGTCTCGTTCTTTCTCGGTTCACCTCAACGACCCAATAAGGAGGACTGGGCAGGGAGTCTTATTCTCTCCTTACAGAAGAAAATTGAGGTCCAGAAAAGTGAAGTAACTTACTCAAGGTCACCAGCTAGCTGATGGCAGTTCCTGGAACAGAACCCAGATTCCCTAGCCCCTGGGTTCACAGGATCTATTGAAGAAGAGGCAGGACTGGGTCTCATACCCTCCCTCTGCCCCGTGCATAGCTTCTTAGAGCATCATTCATGTTCATTGGGATCACACACACCTGGACCAAGCCTGCTGCTGATCCCCCCAAACCCTTGCACATTAAGCATGCACCCCACTGTGGTATTGAGCACCCTTTCCACCAGGTGACCCTGCAGTGACCTCCAAGTAACTGTGAAAGCCCTAGCATCTTGGCTCTGTCCTTCCACTCATGGTGTCTCCTGGCTGCAGCTCCAGGGACTCAGGGACCCCATCTGACCAGAGGAATCACCATCACAAACCACAACAAACTGTTGTCTTTTTTTTAGTTGTTTCAGCTCCCGCTCTCCCCACTCCCCATAGTGGCTCTGAGACTCCCCGGGGTCCCCACCCAGGGACCAGCCACCGGAATCGGACTATCTTCTCCCCAGGCCAAGCAGAGGCATTGGAGAAAGGTGCTGGGCTGGGGGAGATGGAGGGTCAGAGAGTCCTCGGTGTCACACGGGGACAGTGGCCCTGAGGCCTGTGGGCAAAGGCTGAGAGGTACAAGCTGTGAGTGGCCCTGCCTTGAGGAGGAAGGTAGTTTCGGGTTGTAGCAGGTGGGGAGTGTTGCCTGAGGGGAGATCCCTGCCTTGCTCCTCTCCTGGTGCCCTTACTGTGTGAGCCTCTATCTCCGCAGAGTTCCAACGTGGGCAGTATCCTGATTCAGTGGCCCGTGGAAAGCTGGCTGCTGCCACCTCTCTGCCTGAGGACACAGTGAGGGTGAGTGAGCTCTGCAACACTGTACACAAACCACAAGGAGGAAGAGTCTATGCCGGCAGGGTTTTGGGTTCCAATGGGGTGGAGAGGGGAGGTGAGAAGGTGGACGCAAACTTGTTCGGAGCAAAAATCAGAGATGAGACCCTCCTTGTTCACCTTCTGCTGACTGCTCTCCTCTCTTCCCCAACCAAAACCTTTGAGTTGAGGAAGGGGCCAGAGAGCAAAAGCTAGGGCAGGGAGGAAGGATGTCAGGCCCAAGGAAGGGTCAACATTGTGAGTTCAGGCTAGGAAGGAACATGTGGTGAGATCAGCAGGTGCCAGACATCATAAAGTACAACCAGTTGCATTGTCCCTGTCCTTGCTCAGGTCTGGTTTTCCAACAGAAGAGCCAAATGGCGCCGACAAGAGAAGCTCAAGTGGGAAATGCAGCTTCCAGGTAATTGCTCTGTACCATCATCCATTTGCCTGCCCATCCATCCATCCATCCATCCATCCTCCATTCATCCATCCATTTATCCATCTACCCATGTATCAATCAATCAATCCATCCATCCAGTCACCCACCTACCCACCCACTTACCCTCCATCCATCCATTTATCCTCTATCCATCTATCCATTTATCCATCCATCCATCCGTCTATCCATCCATCCATCCAGCCAGCCAGCCAGCCAGCCAGTCATCCATTCCTCCCTCCAGCCAGCCAGTCACCCACTCACCTATCCATCCATCCATCTATCCATCCATCCATCCATCCGTCCATCCATCCATCCATCCATCCATCCAATCCATCCATCTGTCCATCTATGCATCCATTCATCCATCCACTCACCCACCCAGCTACCCATTTATCCACCAATCTATCCATGCATCCTTCCCTTCATCCATCCATCCACCCATGAATCCATTTATTCAGCCATCCAGTCACCCAGCCACCCACCTATCTACCTATCCATTTATCCATCCATTCACCCATTCATCCATGTATCTGCCCATGCATCCATGAATCCATCCACCCACCCATGCATCCATCCATCTATTTTTCCATTCATCTATGCATCCACCCACCCATCCATCCAACATTTACTCAGCATCTCCCAAGTGCCAGACCCTGTGCTAGATGCTGGGCACACACAGTCCCTGCTCTTAAGGCTGCACTGTCCCCAGTACCATCACTGGAATGTAATCATTCTTCTCCAGTTTCCCAAGGACCTGTCTTGGGGAAGAGGGCAGTTTTGGGTTAAAATATCCATCTCCTCCCACCCCAGCCAGGAGTTGCTGACTTTCCTAGATCCTCCTTGCATTTAACCTTCCTGCTTCTCACCATGTTCCTCCTGCACCCAACCCCAATTCCTCCTTCTGGGTTCACTCTCATTTTACAGGTGTTTCCCAGGGGCTGACTGTGCCAAGTGTTGCCCCAGGAATCATCTCTGCACAGGTAATCGAGAAGAGAGAGGAGTCTGTGCCCTGGAAATACTGAAGGGCTTATGACTTCTCCCATTTCTGGCCTGAGCCAGGATCTCTGGCTCCTCAGGACCCCACAGTGTCCATGTCAAGAAAGTACTATCCCCAAAGTCTACTATGTGAATGGTGCTCTCTGGAGTTGAGCAGGATACAACCTGGGTGTCAGGCAGCCCTGGAGTCCCGGCATTCTAAACGGGAGGCATCAGTGGCAGCTAAGGTTCTTCTCTTGCTTTTTTTTTTTTTTAGCAGTCCCCTGGCAGTGTGCCCACAGCAGCCCTGCCTGCCCTGGAACCACTGGGTCCCTCCTGCTATCAGCTGTGCTGGGCAACAGCACCAGACAGGTGTCTGAGTGACACCCCACCTAAATCCTGTCTCAAGCCCTGCTGGGGTAAGAATTCAGGCCAAGCCTCAGTACTGCAGGACATGGGGAGAGCCAGCTGACTCAACCTCCAAGAGGGCATGGATCTCCAGTGGGGGTCATCAAAGGAAACTCGATACAGCTTTCCTCATTCTTTGCATAGCCCACAAACTTAAGGAGACTAGTAACCCCTGAGTCTATGGTATCACTGACAGCCATAGCAGGTAAAGGGTGTGAGACTGGGATTCAAGTGTGTATATGCAGGGTTAGAAACTGATGTCTCAGCCTCTCTCCCTCAGTGACTTTGAGAGGTGGGGTGAGCGCAATAAACCTAAGTTTCCTCTCTGTCCCTGCAGGCCACCTGCCCCCACAGCCGAATTCCCTGGACTCGGGACTGCTTTGCCTTCCTTGTTCTTCCTCCCACTGGCCCCTGGCCAGTGTTGATGGCTCTCAGGCCCTGCTCTGGCCTGGCTGCCCACTACTGTAAGCTTGGAATGAGGCAGGAGTGGGAAGGAGATGGCCTAGGGAGGATCTAATACCATCCTGCCCATTGTCCTTACCGTCCTGCCCATGCAGACTATGGCTCCTTCCTCCTTCCTGTGATCGCTCCCTCCTGTGCGCACCTTGTCTGGCCCCGCCTTGCTGCCTCTCCAGCACGTCACCTGATTGGAGGGGCTGGTGAAGCGACACCCACCCACTTCTCACACTGGCCTTAAGAGGCCTCCACTCAGCAGTAATAAAAAGTTTTTATTAGCAGTAGTTCCATCATTCATCATGTTTCCCCTGTGAGCACCCCTTGCCCACTCTTGTATTTAACAATTATAGACAGTTTGCCCTATCATCTATTTACATCTATGTTTCTACCATCTAATCTATGCGTGTATGTATGTATGTAGCCAATATATGTATCTAAACGATGTACTTATCTATGCATCAATGCATCAATTTATCTTATCTATGTATCTCTGTGTATTATACATGTATCTATCTTGGTGTTTAAGTGCTCATATGCCTACATGTATGCACATGTGTGTGCATACATACACACACACACAGATATTACATCATGGCATTTTATTCCTAAGTCTTCTAGCATGCATCCCCCAAAATAAGAAACTTGTCTTACATAATCACAATATCATTTCTTCATCTAAGAAAATTTACTGTAATTCCTTAATCTAAGAAAATAGACATTCATTCCCTAATTGCATATATATTTTTGTCATGGCAGCAAACAGAGTGAAGTGCCATTTTTCATATTCTGCTTTCCATATGTAAGTGCTTTATTTATACATGCTCCAGGGGCATGTTTACTTAGTTCTTTTGGCAGTAAGTTCTAAATATTCCCAATTCTGTCCCTTCAAATAAAGGTCTAGGCTTTTCCTGAGAAGTCTTAGGATGTGGAGAAAGGGAAGAATATGGGAGAAAGCAGGTGAAGAAGGGGATATTCAGAAAGGAGGACAGGCTCATCCTTCCAAATTCTTTCCCTTTTCAAAGGCAGGGGATGGATGATGGTGCAGTGCTGGTGGCGGGGTTTGTTTACGCCTATCTGGGATAGGTACTGATCCAGACGATGTCCTTCAAGAGGTCTCTTTGTTATCAAATACTGTGCTGTGCTGTTTAATAAGTAGCCACCAACTGCATGTGGCTATTTGAATGTAATTCACATTTTTTAAAAAAAGTAGAAGAACAATGCAGTTCCTCACTCACACTAGCCACATTTCAAATGCCCAATAGTCACATGTGGCTTGTAAGGACTATAGAGCATTTCAGTCATTGCAGAACGATGGGACTGCACAGCTCTAGAATGAAATTTCAAGGGTAATAGAGCACATCCTGCCCCTGCCTTGCCTTCTCTACTTTCAAGCTGGAGGCCCTGCTGGGCAGAACGGTCCTGGGAAATAGGTGAGGTTTTATGGGGTGACAATCTGCACAGTGAAGATTAAGAACAAGCATTCACTTCAATGACAGGACTAACATAGGCCACCGAAGGAGCTGTCTCAGCTGAGGTCTCATGGTTGTGTTAGTAGTGGCAGCTCATCTGGAGCAGCTGCTGTGAAGATGCTGGCTGCACAAGGGGAGGCACAGTGGGGTTATGTGCTCCACAGGGACAGCAGGAACTGGAACAGGCACGAGCCACGCCCCCAACCGAGTTGGCGGGGTGGGAGCCCGGTGCTCTTGGACACAGCTGCAGCTACCCAGCTGTGGCTCCAGACCTAGTCATCCCTGCACTCTCAGGGCCCCAGGAAGCCCTTGCCCTGCAGATTCAGAAGTGCCTGCTCCCACTCCCTAGCTTCTCCCTGCTTCTGGAGTCCACTGTGGTGTGGAGCAAAGCTGTGGCTGCGCCAGGATGCTATGCAACCTGGCTAGGTGTGTGTGTGCTCTGGGTGGCACTGACACACCAGCCCTACTACCACCTTGGCCCCCTCCAGACTTTGGGTGCCAATGAGTGCAGGAGAAAGGCCATGGGGAGAGGACTGAGGGCATCTTGGTGTGGGCCTGCAGGCACCCCTCAGCACAAACAGCCTGGGTGCCATGAATAGCATGTTGATAGTGGGAGGCAGACAGGTTCCTGGGTGGAAAGTGGCAAGTTCCCAGTGAAACCCCACCTTTAAGCCACGAACAGCCTGAAGCCTGGGGGCCAGGCTGCCAGTTCTGGGTGAAGGAAGACTCCCAGAGTGAGGACTTCATTGATGACCCTTTGGTCAGTGGGATGGTGCTTTTTCCAGGCCTGCCCATGGCCACCTATGGACCTGTCAGCACACACTCTTCCCTTCTGAGCTCATAAAAACCCCAGGACTCAGCCAGAGTCACAGAGACATCGGGACTACCAGCTACAGGAAGGAGTTACCCACTTCAGGTTTCCTCAACTAGTTGGAATGGCCTGCCAGCAGAAAGAGGCTACCTACTTCCAGTCTCCTGAGAGCTGTTCTTTTGCTCAATGAAGCTCCTCTCTGCCTTGCTCACCCCCAAGTTGTCCGCATAGCTCATTCTTCCTGGACATGGGGCAAAAACTCTAGATCCACCAAATGGCAGGAATGAAAGAACTGTAACACAAACAGAAATGAAACAAACCCTCCACTCACCACGTTGTGGGTGATGAGAAAGAAAGAAGAGTTGTGATCCTTCAGGGAGTCCAGACCTAGGGGCTCCTTGAGCCATGGCTGTGACATTCTCTTTGGGGCCCTGTGATTCCTGGCATCTCCACGCTCCCAGGCACCACTGCATTCCCCAGTGCCTGCAGTGGAAGCCCCTTGTGGTCCTGCTGCAGCCTTGCACAGAGCCGTGGCCTGTCAACACCTGGAGTGCCTGCCCCGCCACAGCTGGCATACCTGATTGTGAACAGTGGCTAGACCCCCAGCTTGTTCACACACCTCTCCCCCCGCTGCTCCACTCCTGGCTTGCTCTTGGCAGCTGTGGGATCCAGGCCAGTAGCACAAGCTGAGTGCAGCCTACCTGGTCGAGTGGGTGGAATGAGCAAAACTCAGGCAAAGGCACCACCAGCCACAGAGGTTTCCAGACAGAACAGTGACACCTCAAGGATTCTGTGACAGTTGGTCACGTGGGGAACGTGGCACAAGATTGTGTGTGTGTGTGTGTGTATGTGTGTGCATGCATGCACGCATGCATGCTCATGCATCTGAATGTGTGCAGTATTTCCACCCCATCCACGGTTTTGTTTTTTGGGTTTCAGTTACTTGTCATTAACTACAATCTGAAAATATTAAATGAAAAATTCCAGAAATAAGCAACTCATTGATTTTAAATTGCATGTCACTCTGAGTAGCTTGAGACATCTTGTATCTTCATACTGTCTGTGTTACCTGCTCACTAGCCAGTAGCAGTCTTGATTATCAGATAACTACCATGGCATTGTAGTGCTTATGTTCATGTTACCCTTATTTTACTTATTAAAATAAAATAGCCCCTAAGTGCAAGAGTACTGATAATTTCATTTATCATAATTGTTCTATTTTGTTATTATTATTGTTTACTTCTTACTGTGCTTAATTTTATAAATTAAACTTTATCCTAGATGTGTATGTATAGGAAAAAAGAGTATATGTATGATATGGTACTATCTGTGGTTTCAGGTATCTGCCCAAAGTCTTGAAACACATCTCCTGCAGGTAGTTGTGGGGATTAGAATGCTGAGGAAGAGATGCTGCATTAAATGACCTCCAAGGTCCTATCTCTCTGAAGAGTGTACCCCACTGCACATATGTGGCCTATCTTTTTTTTTTTAAACAGGTTATTTCTCTGTTGCCCAGGTTGGAGTGCAGTGGTACAAGCTCAGCTCACTGCAGCCTCGACCTCTGGGCACAAGCAATCCTTCTGCCTCAGCCTCCCAAGTAGCTAGAACTACAGGTGCATACCAGCATGCCCAGCTAATTTTTTTGTATTTTTAGTAGAGATGAGGTCTCACTATGTTGCCCAGGCTGGTCTCAAACTCCTGGGCTCAAGTGATCCTGCTGCCTTGGTCTCCCAAGGATTACAGGCATGAGCCACTGCACCCAGCAGGTGCATATTCCTAATACTTTCTAGGAAAGGAGATGCCCTGCTCTCCAGTAGTCTCACTTGTCATTTGACTGATCTATTACTGGACTGAAATTTTAAAAAAATCTTTTATATGTCTTGAGGGGTGATATACTTACAAAAAATGAAGTCGTTTTCCTCTATCCAAACTGAATCTCTCTCACATTCCAGTTTCGGCCTTCTCTTGTCAACAGATTTAAAAATCAGACATTCATTATGGTATGGGGCAAATTTTCCAAAGTGGGAAGTAGGCAGCACTGTTGGTATTGAAGAACACTTTAGGAGGCGTTGGGATGCTGCTTCAAATAATACTGAGTCCGAAGTGAGAAAATTATTCCCTTTTCAACTCCCTTTCAATTCTGGTTCTAACAAGGAGAAAGTTTCATTTTTGTCCTAGTCTTTGATGCCTCTTTAACAGCTGTTGGCCTGGTGTGGTGGCTCACACTTATAATCCCGGCACTTTGGGAGGCCAAGGCAGGCAGATCACTTAGGTCAGGAGTTTGAGACCAGCCTGGCCAACATGGTGAAACCCCGTCTCTACTAAAAATACAAAAATTAGCTGGACGTGGTGGCAGGTGCCTGTGGTCCCAGCTACTCGGGATGCTGAAGCAGGAGAATTGCTTGAACTCAGGAGGCGAAGTTTGTAGTGAGCTCAGATTGTGCCACAGCAATCCAGCCTGGGTGGCAGAGCAAGCAAGACTCTGTCTAAAAAAAAAAAAAAGAAAGAAAGAAAGAAAAAAAGAAAATTGTTCATATCCTTTATTAGCAAAGGGAAAGGAACTGCAGGCTTTGAGTCTTGGGCAGGGAAGAAAAGAAAAGTTTGACTAGGATTTAATATTATCACTTTATTTTCATTACATAGGTGCACCTCTTTTTAGTGCACTTTGACTTTGCTTTAGTGCATTTCACAAATACTGCTTTTTAAAAAAACAAATTGAAAGTTTGTGGCAAGTCCATTGGTACCATTTTTCTAACAGCACATGCTTGCTTTGTGTCTCCCTGTCACATTTTGGTAATTTGGTAATTCTTCCAATATTTCAAACTTTTTCATTGTTATTATCTGGTATGGTAATCTGTGATTAATGATCTTTGGTGTTACTATTGTAATCGTTTTGGGGTGCCACAACTCATGTCCATATAAGATAAATGAACTTGGCCGGGCTCGGTGGCTCACGTCTGTAATCCTACCACTTTGGGAGGCTGAGGCAGGTGGATCACTTGAGGTCATGAGTTCGAGACCAACCTGGCCAACATGGTGAAACCCCATCTCTACTAAAAATACAAAAAAATTAGCTGGGTGTGGTGGTGTGTGCCTGTAATTCCAGCTGCTTGGGAGGTTCAGGCAGGAGAATCCCTTGAATCCAGAGGTTGCAGCGAGCTGAGTTTGTGCCACTGTACTCCAATCTGGGTGACAGAGCAAGACTCTGTCTCAAACAAAATAAAATAAAATAAAAATAAGATGGTGAACTTAATTGATAAATGTGATGTGTGTTCTGACTGCTCTACTGACTGGCCCTTCCCACTTCTCTCTCTCTCTCCTCAGGCTTCCCTATTCCCTGAGACACACAATATTGAAATTAGGCCAATGAACTCTACAATTCTCTCTTAGCGTTCAAGAAAGGACAGCCACACGTCTCTCACCTTAAAGCAAAAGCTAGAAATGATGAAGCTTAGGGAGGAAGACCTGTTGAGAGCTGAGACAGGTGGAAAGTGAAGCCTCTTATGCCAAACAGTTATTAGCAAATAGTGGATGTAGAAGAAAAGTTCATGAAGGAAACCCACCAGCAAAAAGAGCATGACTCACTGCAGGTTCAAATGATCATTAGCATTTTTTTTTGAGATGGTATCTTGCTCTTTTGCCCAGGTTGGAGTACAGTGGTACAATTTCAGCTCACTGCAACCTCTGCCTCCCAGTTCCAGCGATTCTCTTGTCTCAGCCTCCAGAGTAGTTGGAATGACAGGCATCTGCCACCACACCCAGCTAATGTTTTTGTATTTTCAGTAGGTACAGGGTTTCAACCATGTTGGCCAGGCTGGTTTTGAGCTGCTTACCTCAAGTGATCCTCCAGCCTTGGCCTCCCAAAGTGCTGGGATTACAGGTGTGAGCCACCATGGCTGGCCGATCATTAGCAAATTTTAGCAATAAAGTATTTTGAAATTAAGGTATGCATATTGTTTTAAAGACATAATGCTATTGCATACTTAATAGACTACAGTATAGTGTAAGAATAATTTTTATATGTCTGGGGAAACCAAAAAATTTGTGTGACTTGTTTTATTGCCATATTTGCTTTGTCACAGTGATCTGGAACCGAATCCACAATACCTGTGAGATATACCTGTATTTATTGTTATAGTCATTTTCCACTTATGGTAAGTGATTCTGGTTTTCCATTTTATGATAGCGATAAAAATATTCCTTTCTAAATAAATGTATTTAAGAGTCTATGTCAATAAAAATATTAATAGGGCAGATGGTAGGTAGATAAAGGTCAAAATCACAAAGACAGTGCAAGAATGACAGACATTTTGGAAACTGCTTTGATTGAAAGAATGGTGACATTAGAGTCAGATTTGAGTCAGAAGCCTAGCTGTGTTGTGATTATCATAAGACCTTGGGCAAATCACTTTCGCTGTCTGTAAAAGGTAAGAAATCGGCCAGGCGCAGTGGCTCACGCCCGTAATCCCAGCACTGTGGGAGGCTGAGGCAGGTGGATTACCTGAGGTCAGGAGTTTGAGACCAGGCTGGCCAACATGGCAAAGCCCCATCTCTACTAAAATACAAAAAAAAAAAAAAAAAAATTTAGCTGGGCGTGGTGGCAGGTGCCTGTAATCCCAGGTACTTGGGAGGGTGATGCAGGAGAATTGCTTGAATATGAGAGGTGGAGACTGCTGTGGATCTAGATCACGCCACTGCACTCCAGCCTGAGTGACAGAGAGTCTGTCTCAAAAAAAAAAAAAAGGTAAGCAGTGGTGGAGGAAGTGCCCACTTCACTGGATCAAAGGTAATGATGGGTGGGAAAGTTGGGTAAGTCGTGGTAGGAGGAGGTAAAGTGGCCTATAAGGGCATAAGGTGTTATTAACATTATCCTGTGCCCACAGGATTAACAATCTTTCCTTCTTTCTAAATCAAAAAGATATTTAACGTTATAACTGGATTCTAAACCCTTCAGGGCAATGTTGGCTCCTAATAGGGTCACTGGAAAAAGTCTAGTGGTTCTGGACAGGGATAGGGGAGGATCAGTGGAAGAGCTGCTTGCCATTTGGTCTCTCCTGGATAGAACGTAGGGCAGCCTGGAGCCTCTATTTTCACCCTCATCCAGACCCCTACTCTATACTGAGTCAGCAGCACACAAGGATGTTGGGGGTGGCCTGTTGTGATGTATTGTTGCATAAAACAGGTGTTTTGCTAAACTGGGTAGGAAAAGTTGTAACAGACATTCTTCTCTTCGATCTTGACTCTGGGGTTCCTGTTCCGTTTAGTGTAGTCGTTTTTCCTGGAGGATTTGGATTTTGGTAGGTGACATCCCATTGACCTGGAGAGGAAAGGGGAAATATAAATGGTCAGCAATCAAGTCAGTCATTTGCTGATCTCTGGTTTTTAGAATACTTGGTAAGATCCTGTGGGAGAAAAGAGAATAAAGTGATTTATCCCTTTCTTGATGAGGGATCCACCCTAGACATATGTGAAGTTCTTTCTTTCTTTTTTTTTAAAAAAAAACAAAACAGAGTCTCGCTTACTGTCACTAGGCTGGAGTGCAGTGGCATGATCTTGGCTCACTGCAACCTCTGCCCTCCAGGTTCAAGCGATTCTCCTGCCTCAGCCTCCACTTTGGGAGGCCGAGGCTGGCGGATCATGAGGTCAAGATATCAAGATCATCCTGGCCAACTTGGTGAAATCCCATCGCCACTAAAAATACAAAAATTAGCTGGACGTGGTGAAGTTAACTTACAGAAAGAATCTTAATAGCTCTTGATTCCAGTTCTGTGTGATGAAAGCGCTCTGCACAGTAAGCCAGGAAAGTGAGGTCCATTAGGAAGGGACAGGACTAAGAGAAACGAGGTGCCTCGAAGAGTGTGAACAGGGAATGATGGGTACATGTTACAAAAGTAAACAGTGTGGAGATAAGATTGGACATTGAGATGAGATTGGATAGATGGATCTGGCCCCAGGAAATGCTTTAGGAGAGCCCTAGAAGCAGTGCTTCTGGAGAAAAGCCTGGGACCAAGTGGGGGCCAATGATAATTAAGAAGGAGCAAGCAGGCAAGAGGCACTGTTAAAGAAGAGCCCAGGAATTTGCAGGATTTGATGAAGAAAGTAAAAGAAAGGGTGGAGAGATGGTGCTGAAGTCTTGAGCCTGGGCATTTGGGAGGAAGGAACGCCCACGATGGCCCTGGGGAATGCAGGAAAACAGGATGGCCTTAGGAAGGGAAGGTGAGCAGGCTGATATCAGCTATGCTAATTTTGAGGAAATGGCAGGACAGAAGTCAAGTCGACTGTCTATCAGGAGGTTGGAGAGATGTGACATTAGAGGTCAGGAGAGGGATCAGGGCTGGAAACAAATATTCAAGAGCCCCAGGGGTCCAAGAGGTAGGGATAGAAAGTGGATAGGATAGAAAACACATCTTTTTCTTCACCTACACACATTATCAAAGTCATTCATTTGCCTTAAAAATAGGGTGAAATGGTCAGGCATGGTGGCTCACGCCTGTAATCCCAGCACTTTGGGAGGCCAAGGCAGGCAGATCACTTGAGGTCAGGAGTTCAAGACCACCACGGCCAAAATGGTGAAATCCCATTTCTACTAAAAATGCAAAAAATTAGCCAGGCATGGTGGAGCATGCCTGTAACCCAAGCTACTCGGGAGACTGAGGCAGGAGAATTGCTTGAACCCTGGAAGAAGAGGTTGCAGTGAGCCAAGATCGTGCCACAGCACTCCAGCCTGGGTGACAGAGTGAGACTCTGTCTCAAAAAAGAAAAAAAGAAAAAAAAAGAAAAGAAAAAGAAAAAGAAAAAAGGGTGAAATTCCGCATCTTAATGGAGAGAGAGATGTACAAGAACACCTCACCCTGTCCCCTCCAGGCTTGCTTGCAAGCCCACGTGTCACTGTGGCATAGCAGTGGAAAACCATCTCCCCTCTCTAGCAAGCCCAGGTTTATAAGCTCTCAAGGAATGGCACAGATTTGGAATAAATGTCTGGAGTTGATCAAATCATGGGACAGAAGTCAGCCTGGGAGTGCATTCTGGTCTTCCCATCATATGCTCCCCCACCCACCTCCCTTCTCCTCTTGCCCCTTGGCTTCTGCTCCCCTAGCCCCTTACCTCTTTCTCTCCCTTACCTAAAATTCCCAGATACACTCTTTGGTAATGTCTTCGCTGTCTGCCAACAGCGTGCCGCTTTGGTCAGCTCGCATGTAGAAACCATTGGGGGCCAGTACAGTGAGTAAGTTGCTCCCCTGAAGCTCTATACAGAAGTTGAGGGCAAACTTGCCCCAAGGACGAAAGGTGCCAAAGGGTGTTATTGACCAGAAGGATCCTCCATGTGCTGGAGAGGGAAGAGCTCAGGTTGGTAGGCCATTCATAGGCGAGTCCTCCAGTCAACCTGGCCTGGGAGGGGCTTCTTGGAGGCATGCCACCCTCCCCTGGCTGCCCCATCCTGCCTGCATTGGCAGGTCCTTCTATGGAAATGCAAGAGGGCCAGTAGGATTCCACTGGTCTGTTCTGCCAACCCACTCTGGGACTCTGAAGTGTGAAAACAGACTGAAGTCCTGTTTCTCCTTTTATAATGAGCAGGCCCTGAGTGGCAGGCCCTGAAGTCTGAGCTGGGGCTAAGTCAGGGGCTAGACTGCGAACCCTCAGGTGGGGAAGAGGAGCCACTCACCCTGGAAGTGGTAGATACCCTGTCGGCAGGGTAGTAGGTGAATGCGGTCGGGCTGATCCTGGTTGCACTGTATGAGGTCACGGCCTGATGAGGAACCCACATAACCATAACGACCTCGCAATACAAGAAAGGGGCGGTTGGCAAATAAAATCCCAAATTCCTCATTTGGGCCTGAAAGAAATGGGAATGAGTTATCTGGTTGGGCTGCCTCTGTTTTCCCAAGTGAAGTAGGAGCAAGGGACACTAACTGCAGATGGGTGTGGTCAGTATTTTAACACTGAATGAACACTTACATGTCAGGTCTTATGGTGCTTGTGAAATGTTTGTGAGAGTACCTAGCACATGCGAAACCCAAGAACCTTTAATATTCTTCCTTCTTTTGAGGTGTGTTGATGTGTTTAATCCTCATGGCAACTCTGTGAGACTGCAGAGTTATAGACAATGAAATGTCCATGGAGATGCTTTGCTCAAGAGATGACAAAAATTCAGTGATTGAGCGAGTACAGACCCAAATCTTCTGACCCCGACTCCAGTGCTCTTTGTTGTTGTTGTTGTTGTTGTTGAGATGGAGTTTCACTCTGTCGCCCAGGCTGGAGTGCAGTGGTGCAATCATGGCTCACTGCAACCTCTGCCTCCCAGGTTTAAGCGACTCTCCTGCCTCAGCCTCCTGAGTAGCTGGGATTACAGGTGCACACCTCCATCCCTGGCTAAATTTTTTATTTTTAGTAGAGGCGTGGTTTCATCATGTTGGTTAGGCTGGCCTAGAACTCCTGACTTCATGATCTGTCTGCCTTGGCCTCCCAAAGTGCTGGGATTACAGGCATGAGCCACTGCGCCCGGCCTCCAGTGTTCTTTTTAACAATCATATTCCACCTCCCTCTAAAAGTCTCCCTGACTTGGAATCATCTGGCAGGAAGGCTGCTCCACCCACCTGGAAGGGTGGAATTGGCCATCAGCAGACCGTTGGCTGCAATGCCCAGGAATCGCCCACTGCAGGACTGCAGGATGATCCTGCCACAGTTCCAGTGCATTTGGAAGAAGGTGTCAGACTCCAGGGGGTGCCCATCAGCCATCACTGCCCTGTGGCGCCTCTGGAAAGCATGTCAGGAAGAGAGATGAAGAGTAAGGACTGACAATCTCAGTTTTCTTCCCACCAGTTTTATTCCTAGAGCCTCTTCCCACATCCCACCCACCAGCCCTTTTCATGCTCCCAGAGTCGATGCCTTCAGAACCTTTTTGGAAAATGTTCTGTGGCCTCAGCTCTCCTCCTTCCCCCAGTCCGTGCTGTATCCCAGGGCACAGCATAAAAACTAGGCTAGAATATCATAAGGAGAGAAATAAACCTCAGCCTCGACTTCAAAATCATTTTGAAGTAGATCACAGACATAAAAGTGAAAGCTAAACTATGAAAGATGTAGAAGAAAACATAAGAGAAGTTCTTTGCAACTTTGGAATAGGCAATGATTTATTGGGACAAGAAAAACAGTAACCATTTTAAAAATGGACGAACTGAACTTCACTAAAATTAAAAACTTTCTTCTCAAAAGACCCATTCAACATATAAAAAAGCACGCCCCAGGCTGGGAGAAAACTTTTGCAATACATATGTTTGGCAAAGGATTTGAATTTAGAACACATAAAGAACTCTTACAACGCATTAATAAGACAAACAACCCAATAACAAATGGCAAATGATCTGAACAGAGATGTACAAATGGCGAATGAGCACACAAAAATGGCCACTGTGGCTCACACTTGTAATCCCAGGACTTTGGGGGGCTTAGGCGGGTAGATCACAAGGTGAGGAGTTCAAGACCAGCCTGGCCAACATAGTGAAACCCTGTCTCTACTAAAAATACAAAAAAATTAGCCAGGCATGGTGGCACATGCTTGTAGTCCCCACTACTCGGGAGGCTGAGGCAGGAGAATTGCTTGAACCCAGAAGGCAGAGGTTGTGGTGAGTCAAGATTATGCCATTGCACTCCAGCTTGGGCAACAGAGTGAGACTCCATCTCGAAGAAGAAAAAAAAAAACAACAAAAAACAAGATTCTAAACATTACTAAGTATAATGTAAATGTGAATTAAATCCATAAATTATATATCAGATGGAGTGGCTAAAATACAAAAGATAGATAATCCAATAGCCAGCTTTACCGTTGGTGAGAATATGAAATTCTTAGAGCCCTCATACATTATTGAAAAGAATGTAAAATAGTACAGTCACTTTAGAAAACTGACATTTTCTTATAAAGTTAAGCACATATCTATCATACAATCTAGTAATTCCACTCCTACCGTATTTACCCAAGATAAATGAAAATATAAGTTCACAAAAAGACCTGTACATGAATGCTTATAGCAACTGTATTCCTAACAGCCCAGACTGGAAACAACGCAAGTGTTCATCAACAAGTGACTAGATTAAACAAATCATGTTTATGAGCAGCATTACAGAATACTACTCGGCAATAAAAAGGAATGAACTCCTGATACATGAACACTATGGATGAATCTTAAAAACATTGTGCCAAGCAAAAGAAACATATATACCATACATATTGTATGTTTCCATTTATCAGACATGCTAAGGTAGGTAGGCAAATCTAATTCACAGAGACAGAACACAGATCAGTGGTAGCCAGGAGAGGGAGCGCAGGGGTGGAGGGGAACTGACAGCAAAGAAGCAAGAGGGAATTTTTCAGTGTTGGAAATATTCTCTCACTTGTGATACGCTTATGGCATGGTTGCATGGATGGATACACTTGTCAAAACCTACTGAATTTTATACTTAATGGGTGCATTTTATTTATAAAATATATATAATATACATAATTTATACATATGTGTATTATATAATTTACATACATTCAAATTATACCTTAATAAAGTTGCTTTTTATTTTTTTCAAAAAAGAGGCCCCATGGCTGGGCGCAGTGGCTCACACCTGTAATCCCAGCACTTTGGGAGGCTGATGCGGGTGGATCACAGGGTCAGGAGTTCGAGACTAGCCTGGCCAATATGGTGAAACCTCGTCTCTACTAAAAATACAAAAATCAGCTGGGCGTGGTGGTGGGCGCTGGCAGTCCCAGCTACTCAGAAGGCTGAGGCAGGAGAATCACTCAAACCCAGGAGGCAGAGGTTACAGCGAGCTGAGATCACACCACTGTATTCCAGCCTGAGTGACAGAGTAAGACTCCATCTCAAAAAAAAAAAAAAAAAAAAAAAAAAAACCCAAAAACAAGCAAAAAAGAGGCCCCACTGGGTGAAAATGAATGTTTATCGATAAATGCCTCCACAGCCCACATCATCCTCTAGTCATTTGCCTTGAAAAAGGAGAAGGGCTGGGTGCAGTGGTTCATGCCTATAATTCCAGTACTTTGGGAGGCCGAGTCGGGAGGATCGCCAGGTCAGGAGTTTGAGACCAGCCTGGCCAATCTGGTGAAACCCCATCTCTACTAAAAATACAAAAATTAGCTGGGCATGGTAGTGCTCCCCTCTAGTCCCAGCTGCTGAGGAGGCTGAGACAGAAGAATCACTTGAACCTGGGAGGTGGAGGTTGCAGTGAGCCGAGATCGTAGCACTGCACTCCACGCTGGCAACAGAGTGAGACTCCATCTCAAAATAAATAAATAAATAAATAAATAAATAAATAAATAAATAAATAAAATAAGTAAGAAGAAAAAGGAGGAGGAGGTATCGGGAGGGAGAGCTCAGAGCTTAAGGTTTCTTTTGCTCAGAAAGCTAAGGTCTCACCTGGGCTAGGTAGTAGCCATTGGCTGAACGAAGTTGCACAGCGGAGCTCTCACTGTCACATTCAAACTGGAACAAGGACATTGGAGTTAAGCGCTCAGAAGCGGCACACACCTCATCATCTGCAGAGGAAGCGCATGTCAGTAAAAGCTTCACCCTCAGTCTCAGCCCCTCATCCATGCTTTATGGCCGGGGTTCTTTCCCTCCTCAACCTTGATCACTTTCTGTTGGACCATGGCAGGTCTGGAGAAGACCCAGGGCACTTTCTCCTAAATCCCATACCCATGCTTTTCTGTCCTAATCGATGGCACAAAAGATCCACTTGGGACTCCAAGATCCTCCTTATTAGCAGATTCAAAAATCCTTGCTGATCCCAAACACATTTTCCTCTTTTCAGCAGCCACTCCTTCCTCCCTCCACCGCTGTGTTGGGCCCAGCACTTGCCGTAGACGACTGAGATGAACCGCCGAGTCTTTGACCTGAGGCTGACCCAGACTGGGCAGTGCTGTAGGATGAACCACTCCTCACCCCTCACAGGGTTGCAGCCCAGGCCCAAGAGCAGATGCGTGCCCTGTGGATATAACATGCCTCCTTCTCCATCGCACAGTGCCACAAATCCTCCAGGCCGCACTTGCATGTGAAAAGCTGTCTGTGATGAGGGTTGGGAGAACAGCCGGTCTACATGGGACAAGAAGTGGTGTGTAGAGGTCTCCAGGTGGTAGCATCCATCTCGGAAATGCAACAGGAAGCCACATTCCTCCAGGCAGGGAACTGCTGCGTCCACCCAGATACGGCCCATAGTGGGGTCGGCCCGGGCATAGCAGCGGTGGATGGGGCTGTAGAGGATCACGTGGACATGGAGGGCTGGTCGGGGGGTCCACATGTGGTAAGCTGAGAGGACCCGGGAAGTGCAAAACACATCCTTGCCATTGGACTCCAGATAACGACCAGAGATGAGGCACTGGAGAGTCCACTTGCTGTTCCGGTGGAAACGCAGCAGGAAGCACCCATGGTGGCTGGTCCTTGGGCGGCCATAACACACAGTGCCATCACACTCACACAGCAGGTAGAGGCCCTGCACACTCTTTAGTCGTACCACGGCCTGTGTCTCATGCTCATTGCTCACCAGGATCTCCCAGGTCTGGACACATCAGGAGGGAAAAGAGGGAAATCAGTATCACCAAGATACCAGACCCAGGAGCCCTGCAACAGTCATGGCTGGCACCACCCCAGCACCTTCATCAGCACCACCCACCTCCCCTTTCCACATCAGCCCTGGTGTCTCCTTGCTGTCAGCTCTTCCACTTTCCCACTCTCTCCTGATCAAAAGATCTCTGAGCCCTTCCACCTCTGCAGAGAGACGGCAAGATCCAAAAAGAAGTTCTAGATGTCCACTTCCTTCAGCTGACAGAAGGTAAACCTCTCTCCCTTCTTAATCCCACTGTTCAATACCTGATTTTTAAAGAAATGCTTTGGTTTAAGGCTTCTTTTTTCTTCCTCACTGTTGACCGCAGAGAGCACACTTAGCCAATATCTCCACCCCCAAAGATTGCCTCCCTAGCATGGCAAGACAGGAGCAAAAGCTCTTATAGGCAGGCCGTGGCTCCAGGGATGAAGATGGGAGCATGAGCAGTTCAGATGCTATTGTCTGGTTCAGCCGTGATCAACTTTGTTATAACAGGAAGAACTTCGCCCCTGCCTCACTCTGGCACCCATCCCAGAGGTGCCTACATTCCTCTCTAAAATGAAGACCAACACTGCTAGGGCTTCTGGAGTTCCTCATTCTCAAGCCACAACCAGAAGAGAAACACAGGCTTTGCAGTAGCTCCACTGCTCCAACTTCCTCTGGATGCCCACAATTCTGCTTTCCACCCTGGGCTCTCCACTTCTCCTCTTTATGACACAGTACCCTATGCTGAGATGCGGAACAGGGGACAGTAAGAGCAGGACAAGGCAGCAAGGCCAGGGCTGATGCTTCACCTTGTGGAATAAGTTGAGAGGTAGGAGATGGGGCAATGGGGTCTGTGAACAAAAGCCTGGAGTAGAAAAGTCTCAGGCCTGGCAATGGCAGAGCCTAGGAAAGTGATTAGGTTGAGTGTACAACTTGCTTTCATATACAAGCAAGTGCACACACACACACACACACACACACACACACACACCACTCAGAAAACTGGTTCCAGTACACGTTTGCTTTGTCACCTGTCTTCTGCCCAAACTCTTCGCGGTTGCAGTGACTGTATTCTTGCATGCCTCAAAGGTGAGGTAGGTTCCTGCCCAGCTGATGAGCCCAACCCTTAGGTCCTCAGTCTTGGGATGTCTGTGTATCCACTCCACCTCATCCATGGGGCCGACACCACAGGTGATGACTCTGTCTGGCCCAGCCTTCCCCCTTGAAGTGAGGTTCCACAGGCCATAGGGCCTGTAGTACCCACCAGATGTTCCCAGAGGGAACTTCCCAGCAGAGGCTGGCCTGGGGCCCAACACCTCTGTGACCCGGCAGCATTGTGACTGTGAGAGCAGCCTCTTATCCCACTGCAGTGGGGAAAGGACCCTTGCTCAGCAGCATTAATCCATGGCCTAGACAAGATGGGTCCAGAGCCTATGGTGTTTGTTTTCCTATTCCCCTCTGGGTACCAAGCTAGGCTGAGCTGAGACCAGGATCTGGAACTTCAACCTGTGAATTTAGGCAAGTCCCTCCCTTTCTTCACCTCTGTTTCTCATTCTGGTAACAGGATAGAAATCAACCTCTTTCCTCCCAAGGAAGTGGGTTCTGCCTGGCTCCCTTGCAGCTCAAGTATTTTATTAAGTTCAAGATATCTAAGAAAAATTTATCAGCTTTTATGGCCCTTAGGAGGATGAGGCCAAAATGTTCCAGATGTTGCTTTGCAGGGAGTATGAGGAAACCCTAATCAGCAGACATCAAATAATTCATCAGGAAGCCTGGCTCAGGACCTGGGTAAGAAAGGCCTTGGTGGAGAGAGCACCAAGCACCTCTCCTCAATCCCAGCTGCACTGCTGGTGGGTAGCACAGCTGGCTGAGCAGTCAGAGCTCCTGCAAGGATATGTTTCCCCTCCAAAGAGTCTCTGAGTGATCATCTCTGGGACTCGCTTCCTGCAAAGCTTGAGAAGAAAACCTAGCTTAGAACTGGAAGATATGACATGAAAGAAACAGAAAGGCAAAAAGAAGTGATGATGAGTTCTGCCTAAGCATGGCTAAGATCCAAGGGAAAATGGGCAGTCAGTCACACTAGAATAGGCCACACCCCTGGTTCCTGTTTTTGAGACAGGGTCTTGCTCTGCTAGCCAGGTTTGGAGTGCATCTCCATTGACTGCAGCCTCGATCTCCCAAACTCAAGTGAACCTCCCACCTCAGTCTCCTGAGCTGCTAGGATCACAGGTGTGCACCACTGTGCCCGGCAAATTTGTTTTGTACAGATGGGGTCTTGCCATGTTGCCCAGGCTGGTCTTGAACTCCTCCTGCCTCAGCCTCCCAAAGTGGTAGGATTACAGGCATGAGCCACGGTGCCTAGCCACCCCTGGTTCCTTACGCCTGCTTTCCTATTGCCCATAGGTGGGGTCTTCCCAAGTACCAAGTCTCAGTGCTCAGTGGTGTGCAGCAAGGAACTATAAGCCCCAGACCCCACCCATGTTTTGTGAAATAACGGTAATAGACTATTAGTAGTAGAATCCTCTGGGTAATTTTAAAGGTGCATATTGTTGGGCATAAGACTAGTCCTGACGAATCACATTTTCTGAAATGTACCTCAAGATTCGTATTAATGTACATTTTCTCCCCTTCAAATTTTAATGTGGAAGGCAAACATTAAGAACTGCTCTAAGTAGCTATGAGAATGATGGGAAGCGGAGTTATGTGGTTCATGGAACTATGAGGGTAGATCCTGTAATCTTCAGCAAAGGCTCCTTGGAGCTAGGGAAGGAATGAGATTTCCACCACTGAAAATCCTACAGTATTTCCAGCCCAAGAATAAGGAAGGAGAAGCTGAGCTGCATGAGGGTGTGTGTGGGTGGGGTCGCCCTGCAGCCTTAGCTGCTTTGATCCTCTCCCACGTTGTCTTTTTGTACCCAGTAACCCAACCTCCCGTTTGCAGGCTACAGACCACACTGGGTACAAACCACAGCAAATTTATTACTCAATATCCAGTGCCACATTATAGCACCACCCGGAGCCCTCACCTTCCCCCCCAACCTGGCCCCAAGGGTACACCCAAAACAGAAAAAAAAGGAAACCCAGATCCCTGCTCCTCCTCTGGAAGAGGGGGCCTTGGCCAGGAAGCCCCTTCCATAGGTCCCAGCAGGCAGGAGAGTGGACCCCTCTGTGCCCAGAGAGCAAGGCTCCAGGCTCCAACAACAGAGAGAACATGCAGGCAGGAGCAGGAGCAGAGGCCTGTGGCTGTGGGGGAGGAAGAGTGGCAGGAAAGGGCACTGCCTGAGGAGTCCGGGAGTCTGGTCATCCCGGGGATGCACGCAGGAGCTTCCGGGCATCAGGGGCCTGCCCCTGGCTGGTTAGCGCTTTGACAGCTCGTGGGACAGCCAGTCCAGACCATCGTACAGACCTGTGCCTTGGGTGGCACAGGTGGCCTGGACATACCACTGTGGGGAGAAAAAAAGAAAGAGGTCAGCAACCAGGAACAAGAGACGCCCTTACATTCCTGCCCCAGCCTGTGGCTTCCCTAAAGAGGCAGGATTCAGAGCAGGCGGGCAGGACCCTTACTGTGCGGCTGCGCAAGTGCTGTAGCCCCAGCTTGTCAGTCAGCTCGCTCACGGGCATGGCGTTGGGCATGTCCTGCTTATTGGCAAACACCAGCAGCACCGCATCCCGCAGCTCATCCTCCTGCAGCTGAGAGGGGAGAAGAGAAGGTGGGACCCAGGCTCCCTCTTCCCTACTGTGTTGGGGAATTCCGTTTCTACCTCCTAGCATCTTTATTGGAAAAAAAGTATTGTGTAATCTGCCGCTGAAAACAAGACATAGTTGTAAATGAGCTTGAGGTCACCTGGGATGTAAGTCCTGGAAAGAAAGACCTTTTCCTAATTTGAGTACTTGCCCAGGCAAAATGACAACATTTCCAAATAGAAAAGGCAAGAAAATAAGATGTTTCTCTTTACCACATATAAGTCCCAGCTCCCCTACAACTTCTCAAACTCAGATGTAAAGACATTGAGAATGTGGCCGGGAGTGGTGGCTCACGCCTGTAATCCCAGTGCTTTGGGGGACCAGGATCACCGGAGGTCAGAGTTCAAGACCAAGACCAGCCTGGCCAACATGGTGAAACCCCATCTCTGCTAAAAATACAAAAATTATCTAAGCATGTTGGCAGGGGCCTGTTATCCCAGCTACTTGGGAGGCTGAGGCAGGAGAATCGCCTGAACCTGGGAGGCGGAGGTTGCAGTGAGCTGAGATTGTGTCACTGCACTCAGACCTGGGCAACAAGAGCAAAACTCCATCTCAAAAAAAAAAAAAAAAAAAAAAAAAAGGACATGAGAATGCACAGAAAAAGTCAGTCCCATCCAAAACATGGTGAGGTACACAATGTGTCTGTCCACAAAGAGAAACTCACTCATAATTCCCGGTCTTCAATGCCTGTGGGGGGGCTCCCTGACTTCTATACAACTACAGAGATCACTCTATCCCCAAGCTGAGGGCTCAGTTCCCAGGGCTCTGGGTACTCACCATCTTCTGGAGTTCATCAGCAGATTCTTGGACCCGCTCCCGGTCATTACTGTCCACCACAAAGATGAGGCCCTGGGCAGGAAGGAAGGAAGAAGCAATCACTCCTGCCTGGGACACACGGTGGAGTGGCCCTTTCTCTTTCCTTCCCATCTGTAATTTTGTCAATCCTTCTCGACTAGTAAACTCTACAGAAGTTTACAGAACTCCACAGAAGCTCTACAGGAATCCTGGCACAAACTAGAGACCCCACTGCAAAGGATACGGCCTTTGTCCCTGAGGAGGAAGTAGTTTATCTAAAGATGTGCAAGAAAATAAAGACATGTGATGAGGGCTAAATCAGGCAGCCGGATCCCAGAATCCTGCCTCTAATGAGAAGTCCAAGGTGAGGAAGACTAAGGCGAGTTCTGAAGGGTGAGCAGATGAGCAGAGGCTAGCCAAAGAGAGGGATAGAAGCGGGGAAGGGTGTTTTCCTTGGTCTGGGGACCCAGCCTAGGCCAACAACTCTGTTCTCCCAGCCCTAACACCGTTTCTCCTGGGGGTAGGGAGTCCCCTCCCAACACTCCACCTGAGTGTTCTGGAAGTAGTGCCGCCACAGAGGCCGAATCTTGTCCTGGCCTCCCACGTCCCAGACTGTGAAACAGATGTTCTTATATTCCACTGTTTCTACATTGAAGCCTGCAGATAATTGGGAAAAAAATATGTATGAGAAAAACTCCTGAAGGAAAGGAACTCACTAAAACTACTTGGATCTCAGCAGGGACACCAAACCAGAAAGGCAATGATCAAGGCCCAGGGGAAGGGAACCTCAGAACTGGCGGTCAACAAGGCGGGGCTAGGTCACATCCACCGCGCCTCTGGTATCCTCTGGTATCCACGTAGAGATACCCTGACCCACTTCTCAAATAGCTGTATCTCATGTCAGGGTCAGCTCCAGAAAAGTGGCAGAACTGGGAGCAGACCCTGAGAGGGCCCGCCGAGGCGCTCCCACTCCCTGCTTCGTCCCCGGGCTCACCTATGGTTGGGATGGTGGTGACAATCTCCCCCAACTTCAGTTTGTACAGGATTGTGGTCTTGCCAGCCGCATCCAAGCCAACTGCAAAGGAGAGGGGCACAGGGATGGAGATGGGAGCGAGGGAGCCCCCTAGGGACCAGGGAAAGGGAGAGGCCACACAGCTGATGGTGACGGTGGCTGAGAGCGGGAGCGCCTCCAGGTGCGCGTCGTTATCTACCTTTGGGGCCTGGAGGGCAGTCGGGTGGCGTGAGCCAACTCCAAAGAGGGAGCAGAGCGGGAGAGGGCTGGGAGGCAAGGGCTACGGGAGGAAGGCCGAGCTCCTTTTAAAAGTCGACTCCAAGGGCGGAATCCTCCCTTACCAGCCGGGCTGGGGCGGAGGGAGCTTCACCCCACCCAGGCCCGCAGCTCCGGGTGTCAGGCCCTGGGGTCGGGGCTGCAGACCCGGACCTGCTCGAGAGCAGAGGCCCCGGGGCGTTAGGAGGTGGGTGACCCAGGGCCAGAGACCCAGGTGAGCGGGGCTGGAGGGACGCGGGGGCGGAAGGGCTGCGCCGGGGCCGGCGCCCCGCTCCGGGCCGCGCGCTTGATCTGCCTCACCCATGAGAATCCGCATCTGCTTCTTTCCGAAGATCCGCGAAAAGAGCGCGGACACGGTGAGGCCCATGGCGGGGCCCGGGGAGGGGGCGCGGGCACCGACGCGGGGTGCGGGCTGGAACTGGCCGGCCGCGGGGGGATGGGGCGCAGCAGCAGCAGCAGGAGGAGGCTCCGCCGCCGCCTCCGCGCGTCGCTGCCCTCCCGACGTCACCGTGGGCCCGCCCCCGCCCGGGCCCCGCCCCCGCCCCTC